TCAAATTAAAAAAGCTCCACTTTAAAAGTAAAGGTTCTAGAGCCAAAATACACAAGAAGTAATTCAATCAAATTTAAGAAAGCCATATTCAAATTCCCCGCTTGTACTACTGTACTATATTAGAGTCTAATGTTCTTACTAGGCTACTCGCATTCTATTATATTACGTTCTGTTGATAATTATAATTGTAATGGTAATAGTAAAAATAAAAAAAAACAAGCCCATCCGTGTAGGGTTGAAATTTGAGGGGAGAGCCAAGTGGGTGTGCGATAGACTTACCTCCACGTGGTGCACCCTGGAAATATGCCTTCACTATCAACATCTTATTTGGAAGCGGAGGGGTGTGTGCGATAGACTTACCTCCACGTGGTGCACCCTGGACAGCGTGCGATAGACTTACCTCCACGTGGTGCACCCTGGGCAACTTTCAACCCTTGCTGGTTTTCTAAACAATTATTCTTAAGAATACGATAGACTTACCTCCACGTGGTGCACCCTGGACAACGTACTTTCAAATGGCAGGCGTTATGATAGGTATCATGGGGTGTGCAATAGACTTATAAACTTACCTCCACGTGGTGCAGCCTGGGCAACGTATACCCCTCCACGTGGTGCACCCTGGCCAACGTATAATCATACGGTCTTACCTCCACGTGGCGCACCCTGGGCAATGTATACTACACCTTACCTCCACGTGGTGCACCCTGGGCAACGTATTCTCATTCGGCTTACCTCCGTGGTGCACCCTGGGCAATGTATATTTAGACTTACCTCCACGTGGTGCACCCTGGGCACCGTATACTCATACGGCAAAAAAGTCTATTAACCGGCAGTTGTTGCGATAGACTTACCTCCACGCGGTGCACCCTGGGCAACCCACTCATACGGCAAAAAAGTCTATTAACCGGCAGTTGACTTATCACTTCTCATACGGCAAAAAAGTCTATTAATCGGCAGTTGACATCTTGACTTCTGACTTCAAACTACCATGACCCCACTGTATGTTACAAAGTATACTCATACGGCAAAAAGTCTATAAACCGGCAGTGGACTTCTGACTTCAAACTACCCTCACCCCACTATATGTCACAACTTCTCACTTCAAACTACCATCACCCCACTGTATGTCATTGTGTATGCGCATACGGCAAAAAAGTCTATAAACCGGCAGTTGATCTAACCCTAACACGGCAAAAAGTCTATAAACCGGCAGTTGACCTCTGACTTCAAACTACCATGACCCCACTGTATGTCATATTTGGGCAACAGACCTCATACGGCAAAAAGTCTATAAACCGCTGGGCAACGTATACTCATACGGCAAAAAAGTCTATTAAAGGCAGTTGACTTCTAACTTCAAACTACCATGACCCCATTGTGGCAGTTGACTTCTCACTTCAAACTACCATCACCCCATTGACGGGCAACGTATACTCATACGGCAAACAAGTCTATAAACCAATGGGCAACGTATACTCAAACGGCATACCTCCACGTGGTGCACCCTGGGCAACGTGTACTTACAACCTCCATGTGGTGCACCCTGGGCAACGTATACTTATGCGGAAAAAAGTCTATTGACTGGTAGTTGACTTCTCACTTCAAACTACCATCACCCCACTGTATAGTTGACCACTGACTTCAAACTACCATGACCCCACTGTATGCCTTGACTTCTGACTTCAAACTACCATGACCCCACTGTATGTTACAAAGTATACTCATACGGCAAAAAGTCTATAAACCGGCAGTGGACTTCTCACTTCAAACTACCATCACCTCACTCTATGCCACCTTCCACAGTACTCACCTCACCTTTTTTCTATTCGACTATTTTCACAGTACTCACCTCACCTTTGTTCTACTTTTGTGTTTATCTCTTACATCTTTGAAACACTCTTCTATTCCCCCCCTCTTGATTTTTTTCAATTTGATGTTCCTTCCTCTCTGTGATGCCTGAAGTCAACAAAAGGGCTGATGATAACAATCAAGACGCCTGCCATTTGATATAAATAAATAACGTTCTGTTGGTAGAGATTTTGTGGCAACCAAAATACCACATATTAAAATGAAGGCACTCGAATAAATAGCATTCTAAGCTAAAAGGTATTGTTCTCAAACTTGAAAGAGTCGACAAAGTCGTTCTTCGGCAATGTGCTCAGCACATGTCTCGTGAAAACACACAAAATCATTTCGATTTAAATTCGAAATTATTGAGGAGAAATGCAGATTCATTAATAATGGAAGTCGTTGACCTAAAAAGTTCAATTGCCTGTACAATTAAATAGTAGATCCCACTTGTTGGCCTTTAAAGGAGGATTTGAAGTGGTATGACAAGGCAAATAGGCAGGATTGAGCGACCATTCAATATGCACAAGGTATCATGAATAAGAATTCTAAAGGAAATATAGTACACGGTTTATGGATCTCAAATCCTAGAGAATAACGACGAACACCACTGCAGTTGGTTCGAGAGCATTTTATGATGGCTAAACGATGAAATAGTTGTGAGATCCTCTTTCAGATATCAATTCAAGCTCAGAGCTTTGTGGATAGTATTCTGAATGCAACATTACCGCACTTACTTGTCCCACCGTCATGGAAATTCACAGAAGTTATAAATAACTGGATGCATTGGCCAATTACTCCTGATTAGCGCCTACAGTTGTCGTAGTCGATAGTTGATTTTGACTTGAACACTTGGTCCAATATAGAGTACTCTTAACGTTGGGCATTTTGGTGTTTGCCCTCCCAGTACTGAAGTGCCTCTTTTATGATTTTAACGTCCATCATTAAATTCGTGACTACAATTTGATACATGATAGTAATTCTCACTTGACATTTTAAATTGTGATCTCCGACAGCAAAGCACAATTGAAACCCAAATGAATTTTCTACGTCTGTACATTTGTAAGGCGAATTCGGTTGCATGCTTCCTATTTAGTTCATGTCATATTATTTTAACACTCCTCATAGCAATATTGCAACAATTTTGCAATTTAATTTGATGGAGGTAGTTGAGATTGGTTAATAGACATTGCAACGAATGATGAATGGAGAATATGAATATAAATATATGATTGACTTGATGGTACAGCAACATCTGTTTGGGGAGTAGTTAGTAGTATATCCATTTAAAGCTAGTCTTCCCACTTCCAAATGCATACCACTTGCCAATACACTTGTAATATCAGCACTAGGGTTCGTTTAAGCATTGCCAGCTCTGGCAACTTCCATTTAGTCACCACCGAGAAGATGTATTGCAATTTATCATTCGAAGGAGTCATTACTAAGAGGAAGCTGTTTGAAATCTAGTTACATTAAAATTACCATGATCGTGATTTAAAATGATTAACTCCTTGTTAAATATTGTTAATTTCTTCGAGTTGTTTATAGACCTAAAGATCTAAGGGTAAATGGATGTGTTCAAAATTGAGTACTTGCGAAGTTGCAACAACTTCTTTTCGACATTTCGGGATCTGCATGCTTGAGCACCCGCTTATCGCATTCTTTGTATATTTCACTGTTGCATTTTCGAGCCTTGTCTCATTCAATGCATTTTAGTGCAATACATTTAGTACTAGGTTTCATCGTTAGGATAATGGATTAATTCCTTTACCTCCAAAATTGTAGCGATCTCTGATAGAAATAGATTTGCAGAGAATTTGAAAATGAATGCGTCTTCATACAGTCTATAAATCATATCTGGTCGTCGATGTCTCCAGAAGAAGGATTGGAAACGCCGCATATGAACAAACAGACATTGGCGAGATGCTCCAGGCGAATTCAATAGCAAGATGGATCTCCAAGTACTGAGTGATATTAGCTGTTAAAAGAAGTCTTGAGGGTTATATCAATAGGCGCATTGTCATTTCGCCAAGCATTTATTACTGACCTTGGAATTTGGAGTAATTATGATGTGCATCCACCGGTAATGTAAAAAAAACATGAATGATTGCATTAACTACTCCACATTTCCACACACTTATGAAAAGCGAAAAATGTACTATTGTTCAACAGCAAAGTTCGTCAATTTAACACAAAGTTTTGGTATTTATACGAATTTTTAATAATCAGCAATTAGAAATCAGTAGAGATTATTTGAGTCTAAGTTGATATGACATAATCGATATATTAGAGAGAAGGAAAAAATATTAAGGAAACACTTAATTGCTTTACTGTACCTATAACCAAGAAAGTTATTTGCACACGAAGGACAATGAAGCGTATGATTAGTATCATACACACTCGTCGTGATCGTTGTCACAAAGAAGATTAATCAAATATTGGCCCTTGTACCTCCAACTATATTGCTATTGCATACACTATATCCAGAGCAACGGCATCTGGCAATTTTGAGCAGAGATGATAGAACTAAGCCTGACAGTATTGCTGGCTAAAACCAGCTTTGTTTAACCCTATATCGTGTGCAAATAGATGTTAGGGAATTAATATTGTAGCGTATAAGAGAAGTTTACCAAAGTTGGCGAGTAAATATCACAAATTTAAACGCAATTGCTCACCTTCTATGCATTCGAATAAATGAAGACGGAATATATGGTTCGAATCATCAAAGAAATTCTGAAAGCTTCTGCAATTACTTGGTTTCCGATTAAATAAGATTTAAAATTGATAAGTAATTAGCACAAGCAATTTCATTAAGTTAAAAATTATTAATCATTTGCATGAAATGAAATTTAAATAAAAGTATCATCAAATAACATTTTAAATATGAAAGTGCTATTGTTATAGCTAACTGCGCGTTGGAAACCGGTTTGATACTCTGAGGCAATAGGCGGATTTCCATTTATTCAGGTGATGGTCTGTTTTCACACTGTGAATGTTAGGTCTAAAATTTTATTTTAATCGGTCAAAACCACGTATTTATAAGCCCAAAAGCGAGAACATTCTCAGCATAAATAAAATTGACTTTAAATCTTGCCACTAAGTTTAGGGTTATTGTAATTGACCACTCTGAATTTGGCTCAATTTCAGTTAAGATGAGTGGAAATCAGGGAATGCAGATGCTTATCCCCCTTGTGAACAAGTTGCAGGATGCATTCGCGTCACTCAGTGTTCCTCTCAATCTGGACCTTCCACAAATTGCTGTGGTAGGATCGCAAAGTGCTGGTAAAAGCTCTGTTCTGGAAAATTTTGTTGGAAGAGACTTTCTTCCCCGTGGATCTGGAATCGTTACCAGAAGACCACTCATTTTACAACTTATTCATGGTCCTACTGGTTTGTGCCGCGTTTTGTTGAATTTTGCTTATTTTTAGAATATGCTGAGTTCCTTCACTTAAAGAATAAACATTTCACAAATTTTGACGATGTTCGCAAAGAGATTGAGGCTGAAACTGATCGAGTGACTGGCAAAAACAAGGGTATTTCGAATATTCCCATTAATCTTCGGGTGTACTCTCCACAGGGTTTGCTTTTTTCTCACTGACTTAGCTTCTATTTAGTCTTGAATCTCACCCTCATTGACTTGCCGGGTCTAACGAAGGTACCGGTTGGTGATCAGCCTCATGATATTGAGCAGCAAATTAGAAACATGATTTTGGAATTTATAGAGCCGGAAAATACACTGATATTAGCTGTAACTCCAGCGAATTCAGACTTGGCCAACTCTGATGCTCTCAAGATTGCCAAAGAGGTTGACCCAACAGGAATCCGAACCATCGGTGTGATTACGAAGTTGGATTTAATGGACGCCGGTACGGATGCTCGGGAAGTTCTGGAGAATCGAGTCTTTCCTTTGCGTCGAGGTTATGTGGGTGTGGTTAATCGAAGTCAAAGAGACATAGACGGTCGAAAAGATATCCAAGCTGCCATGGCGAGTGAGAGGAAGTTCTTCCTTAGTCATCCTGCTTATCGACACATGGCTGATAGAATGGGTACGGGTTATTTGCAGGCGACATTGAATCAACAACTGACAAATCACATCCGTGATACTCTACCAACTCTGCGTAATCGTCTCCAAACTCAAATGCTCAGTTTGGAAAAGGATGTAGATGCGTTCAAGAGCTTGAGGCCCGACGACCCGTCCTATAAAACCAAGGCTCTCATTCAGTAAGTATGATTCATCATTCTCTGTGTCCTACCGAGAATATTCGTTTACTTAGGTCCGTAACATTGTGTGCAGCTTAATATTAGGCTGGCAGCCTGTTGTATGAAAACATAAGTGTAACTATTTGTTATTGTTTATTATCCTCCAGTTTGGTGAATAATTTTTCGGAGAAATTTATAAACGCAATTGATGGTCATTCGGGAGCAATCAGTGTGGATTCCCTTTCTGGAGGCGCTGAGATCAATCGAATCTTTCACGAGCGTTTCCCTTTGGACTTATTTGAGGTAAATTGCCCTTATTCAAGTTTTTTGCAGGCTTTGGAAAGTCGAATCTCTATTACTGTTCATTCTAATCCCATATGCGTGCGTTTACTGGAATGAAAGTTTGAGAAAGTGTTTAGAATGAATCGTTAGACTTGTCGTTGCTCTTTTGGGGATTTACAAAGATGTTTCTATTCAATGTTGGGATAAACGACATGCTTCCATTTTGTTGAGTTATGCTGATTACTAGTCGTGCAAATGTAGCATGTCGTTCCGAAATATGAATGTTTGATTGGAACGCCAAGAGACTGATTTAGTGCACCCTGCTAGGGTTTGCCTCTTAGTTGGTGATTCATCATTCTCTGTGTCCTACCGAGAATATTTGTTTACTTATGTCCGTAACACTGTGTGCAACTTAACATTAGGTCGGTAGCCTGTTGAATGAAAGCATAAGTGTAACTATTTGTTATTGTTTATTATCCCCCAGTCTGGTGAATAATTTTTCGGAGAAATTTATAAACGCAATTGATGGTCATTCGGGAGCAATCAGTGTGGATTCCCTTTCTGGAGGCGCTGAGATCAATCGAATCTTTCACGAGCGTTTCCCTTTGGACTTATTTGAGGTAAATTGCCCTTATTCAAGTTTTTTGCAGGCTTTGGAAAGTCGAATCTCTATTACTGTTCATTCTAATCCCATATGCGTGCGTTTACTGGAATGAAAGTTTGAGAAAGTGTTTAGAATGAATCGTTAGACTTGTCGTTGCTCTTTTGGGGATTTACAAAGATGTTTCTATTCAATGTTGGGATAAACGACATGCTTCCATTTTGTTGAGTTATGCTGATTACTAGTCGTGCAAATGTAGCATGTCGTTCCGAAATATGAATGTTTGATTGGAACGCCAAGAGACTGATTTAGTGCACCCTGCTAGGGTTTGCCTCTTAGTTGGTGATACCGTTACTTAAGAGGTATTTTATAGGCATTGCGCATTCGACTAGCTCCCAATGGTTCTTTCGTTGGTGTCTTGTTTAGTTTAATTCTCTCGTCCGAGGGGCTATATATTCAAATAGTGTCGAAGACACTGGAGCTATGCAATCTGTGATAGGATGCGTAGATCATGGATGTGCTTTAAGGCAGAGGGTGTGGAACAATCTTATTGATTTGTTGCACAAACGTGAATTGTGCAACTGTCACATGAGGTGCCCTTTTTTGCACTATAAAGCCATGGTAGTGTTATAGAATGTAGACTTTGAACTTTTTCTCTCGATGGTTTTACTTACTTGATATTTTAGGTCCCTCTCGTTCTCTTTCTCTCTCTCTCTCTCTCTCGTTTTTGCTTTTGTTTCGTCCAATTGACTTTTATTGATTTACTCATATACTTTTGGAGAGTTTGTTGTCTTTCTATTTTAGATTCAAGTGGACGAAAAGGCTCTGAGGCGGGAGATTGCCTATGCTATTCGCAACGTTCAGGGTATTCGGTAAATGATATTTCGGGTCTCTTAGACTCAGGCTTTTATGCGCTTTTGTTGCAATTGAATTCACAAAAATCTGACGAACGTGCAGTTGATTGCTTTGCCAAATTTGTAGGTACAAAATTGCGAATAATTCTAATGTTCTTTAACCGCCTTCCTTGCGTAATAATTAGCAGATATGCAACACTTGACAAACGTGGTTGATGCAGTCACTTATAAAGCCACTAGGGCAAGGTAATGCTGTAGTAGAGTATGAGATTAAGATTATGACTTTTTCACTTTGATTGCAATCATTGACTATTCAAATCATGTTAGTTAGAATGTCGTTATATTCTTACGCTTTCAGAGGTGGTCTTTTCACACCCGATCAGGCGTTTGATGTGATCGTCCGAGATCGTATTGGCCGTCTTTTGCCACCCACTTTGACTTGCATAGATCAAGTTGTCAGCAAGCTCTCAGGCATTGTGCACTCTTGCCTCGAACAGGTTGGTCTGTTTTTGACCCACGTTACTTATTTATTCATATTTCTCTTTCGTGCAGATGAGCAGCTATCCTCGGCTTGCTGACGAAGTGGAACGAGCCATCAATTCACGGATTCGGGAGTCTGAGGTGAAAACAAAGGATCAGTTGCGCTCCCTTACTGAATACCAACTCGCCTACATGAACACCAATCACGAAGACTTCATTGGATTCAACAAGTGTGTCCCATTCATTAAAACTGAATGCACTAAGACTGAGAAGTGGGCAATATTTCAGACGTTTCTTTGCTATCAACCAATAGGCTTTCTGCAACAGAAGTCGATTGGCTTCTCTCGCGAATCCATCTTCTCGAGTAATAAGGCGATTTATGAGATTTGAGGCATCCAGTAGTGAGATTTTTGTATTCGTCACAATGTGTAGTTGGATCATTCATAGTAGGCTGTGATTTGATTCGCTGGCGTGGTGATTGTCTCAGGCATAGATCCACTTGCTTCCGAGACTTTATTTGGTTGCTTTTTCAGTTGCTTTCGGTCCCTCTATTGCATATAGGGGCATTTAACTGAGTTGAAGATGGGAATGGTTATGATTTTGAGTGTATTGTGAGGAGTTGAATTGAGTAATACCATGTTCAAAGTAATGTTTCTTTTGAATTGAAGTTACGATTTTCCTACGAGAAGGCCTTGTAAGTGTAGGATTTTTGAGGAGGCTAAGTTTGCCTACGCCTTACTTCGAAGCTTGTTGAATAGTGGAATGGTAAGAGTGGCATTTTCAATGTGTTTTCACATTCCCTTATTTTAATCCTGTATATCTGGGGCTCCGACGCATTACATTATTGAGTCGACGTGTTTATGTCATTTTCTCATAGATACAGAGCTCTTATTTTGAGTGCAATGTGAATGCTAATGGATTGGTTAAATTTCAAGCCTGTTCGTGCGATTTCTCAGACTTCCTAGAGACTGGCTTTTTATGCATCCCATGTCTCTCGTGATAAACATGTACACCATTTCCCTTTCAGTGCCGATCCTCAGAACGCGAACCAGTCAGCAAAACAGAAGCTTGGTAATCAGGTGAGTTTCCGTCCTTTCCCATTTTTCTGAGTCACTTGTGGTGTCTAACACACTTCTCTCACCATCACATCCCATCTCTCTAGTCACCTGGTCGTCAACGTCGTGCTGTTAATACGGTTAGCGCTCTCTGATTTTGCTTCCTCTTGTGTTTATATCTGTTTGTCTTCTTTAAATAACCACATTATTTCTCTGCCTGTTTGTGGTCTATGATTTATATGTCCCACCTCCTCCATTTTTGTCTCTATCTCTTGGTACCGTTTTTCGTTTACTGCTATCAAAATTCGCAAAATCGCCATTTTTCCTTTGAGGCGTTTATGCCGCATTTTATTCATGTTATTGAGGTGGTATTGCCTTACTTTAAGTAAACTACTCCATCCAATTTTATCCTTTTGAATTGGTATCGGGTTCGAAGTTTTTAGTGGATAATCCTGTGTCCTTCAATTTCTTGTCTCGTCTCGTATTGATGAACTAAATCTCATGGTAAAGCTTACCGACAATTTATATTATCAACCACATAATTCTTTACATTAATCGGTTACATGTGACAATATACAGGCAATCGGACTCTTGCCAAAATTCGTGTTTCTGGACTTAATATCATCCCGGTCATTTTTTTTTCTAAATATTTATTTATATTAAATGGCAGAATTTTCGATAGTTTTCATTAGCCCTTTAGTTGACTTCAGGCTTCACAGAGGAGAAGGAGCATCAAGGTGGAAAAAGTCGAGATGGGGGTGGGGGTAATAGAAGAGTTTCGAAATGGTAAAAGAGGCAGACACATAGGTAGAAAAAAGATGAAGTGAGTACTGTGGAAGTGGTCGAATATGACATACAGACGACCATGGTAGTCTGAAGTCAGAAGTCAACTGCCAGTTAATAGACTTTGCCGTATGAGAATAGGTTGCCCAGGGTGCAACACGTGGAGATAAGTCTATCGCACACTCCGTTTTCTCAATATGCTTTAAATGCTTAAGCTTTCCTTTATTCTGTTCAATATAATAGGGTAACCTATTGTTCAGATTGAATCACAATTTGATAAACAATGAACGAATTCAATTTGTACATTTCTATACCTCACTTTTACTATGAATTATGGGACAAGAATTGATCAATGTTTTGGATGAACTTAAATCGTCACCATTAATTTTCATTTTCTAAGTCGTATCCGATAGTCTTTGATTGCTATTTTTAGCGAGTTATATTTTCATTTGTTATTGTCTAGAACTCCTTTATTTGTAAAATAGTCATCTTAAGAATTCGGATCATATTGTGCTATGGTTCTTCTACTTTGTCATATTTTTGTAGACTTAATTGGTATAATTTTGTGCACACTATACCCGTTTATATTATGATAGCACCCCCTCCCCCACCCCTCCCTTCAACTGGTGTGTATGTTAAATCTCCTTTATGTTTTAGTTAGCTGGCTCGTCGATTTTGATCTAATGTTATTCATGGACTATTAAAGGGATTAGATCTCGACATGACAGTTCTCTATTTTCAACTATTGTATGTATTCCTTTAATAGGTTATTTACAAAAGCTGGCTGACCATACTCAATGGAAAACTGATTCGCAGTGCAAACAAGTACTTCTGGTTCGTTCTCACAACCGAATCGCTTACCTGGTACCGCAACGAGGAAGTGAGTTACTATTTCTATTTCTTACGATATTTTTGTTAGAATTTTCGAGTTTTTAATATTTATCTAGTGAGGTGGTGTGCGAAAACCCTAATAAATGACACATGCAATTACTGCCTTCAATTCGATCAAATAGCTTTTTGAAAACGAGTATTCTCAAGGTCATCATATTTTTGGTATTTTACTCTTTCATTAATTTGTGCTCTCAAATGCTTTCTTTAGTGGGAGTGTGCGAAGCAATGAATCAAATGTACTAATGAATAACAGAGGCTATTCACTTGATATGAAAAGTATTTTGTGATTTTTTATCACCTCGACGTATGGAAACAAAGTCTTTTTGGTTTTGTCTATAATATTTGGGCTCCATACTTCTGAAGGTGTCCAAGGCTCGTGGTTTTCAACGTTTATCAATGAAATGGATATTTCGGCTTCTGGTATCTTGGGTACTATTTTCTGCTCTATAGCAATAAATTTGCCAATTAATATTTGAAAGAATAGGCTAACTGAAGTCGCGATCCGTGTTTCCTATTGGTAGATGGGATACCCACAGTATTTGGCCCTTGATCGCAAAATCTGA